TTGTGTATTTTCATGTAGCTGTTTAACAGCAACCTATAAAATGTTGAAGCAGGTTTATGGTAATAATAATCTAACTCTGGAGAAGGCATCTAAGACAATTAATGCAGCAGCTAATAGAAAATTTTAGAAGTTGCTGCATTTCAATAAGGCAATGAATAACAATCCAGAAAATAGAGAAAAAAAGCTAACCTACATAGGGATACTGAAGTTAAAGAATACTGATACAGGATTTTCACATGCAACAGATTTGTTGATATATTTCGTCCCAAACTGAGAAGGAAGAATAGTGGCTCTACAGATAATGATGGCCGGTGATTATATAGACACTATTAAGAAAGAAAATGTTCAGTAAAATTATGCCAAACAAAATATATGGTTCCTTCTTTGATCTACATAGTAAACAAGTATCAAGTAACTGAAAATTAGGAAAGCATGTAGAAATTTCGTAAGGACTGTACCAAAATCAAGTATGAGGCTTTTATTTTTTTTTTCAAAGATACAGTTATTCTTGAATTTGAACTTTAGTTGAACAAGCCTTAGTTCAAACAGGAACAGAAAAAGACATACATGCTGTTGTACATTAATGCTCCCACTCAGCTGTCATACTCAGTTTAAAAATTTCTGGTAAAACAGAAACTCTTACCTGTTCACACCCACCATACTCATATCGTCATATATGATAAGACTTATAACATTTTCCTCAGCCTACACTTCAACTAACAGATCATTGGTTTAAGATCATGGATGATTTGAAAAATGTACTGCTAGTTAATCTGATGGATATTTCAAAGCCCAGTCTCCAAAAATGGTTTGAAAACTTCTACAAGAACTACAAAAGCTATGTTGTTCCAAAAGGTCTTACTTTGAAGATGGATATGTTTGAACATTTTAATTTTAAGGACTTATGGACACAATTACTAAAGTTTTGGAACCTTCTATGTTTTTTGCAACCACTAATAGAGTATTAGCAGTGTAATAATTTTCTTACAGAGAAAAGATAAACTTCATCGGGCAGTCACATGATAAATAGTGACATTTTATAAAAGGTTCAGAGTCTATGATTTTGTAAATTGAAACTTACTTTTACATATCACATAAATTTAAACAATACAATCAATGTCATTATATGAGATCAAGATTTCCCTTTAGGCAGATGGCATTTTGTTACATGATATTTACAATACACAGATTTTCTTCATTAAGTAGCATGTTTTTAAATTTAGAAAAAGTACAGCTTCAGTATTGAAGCTCTTTTTGATACTGATAGTCAATAATGTTACTTTACATAGTTTTGAAAAATTAACCTTTATTATGTTTCATAACACTAAGGAGAAACTGAAGGCTCAAAATTCTTTTGATTACTTCGCTGAATATATCTTGCATAAACTCTCATGGAATGTAAAGTTACATAATCATGAAAAATAATAAAAAATTGTGAAATTTGCAGATTTATTGATCATTGGTAGAATAATTTAATACTCGCAAAATCTCGAGAAACTTTCCGAAATTTGCAGAAAAAAACATGAAAATCCCCGCAGTGATAAAATTACAACCTTAATTATTAGCTTATAATAGTTTTACATAAAAATATATGTTCATATTATTTAAAGATGTACAAAATTACACTCTACAGACACTGTAAAATGATAAAATATAGGGTGGGGCAAATAAAAGTGATCCGGAAAACAGAGCAACTCTGTTCTCCGGGCCACTTTTATTTGCCCCACCCAGTGTAATTCTTTAATATAAATTTACATAATAATAATTTAGCTTATTTGAGGAACTGAATGCTTATATGCCTTCCATTAATAACAAGTGAAAAAAGCGATTGAGCTTTTCCTGCCTGAATAAGAATCTTCAAAAATTGTAAATATTGCTATTCATGATTTATGTAGTAATTTTCAGGGGGGGGGAAGTAACATTTCCTGATAAACTGCTAACTCCTTCCCTGATAAAATAAACAAAAATTATTTTTCCCTCTCAATCTGAAAAAGGATAGAACTAAATGTTATTGATTTATTTTTATATGAAAGCAGTGCTCTTTCCTTTTTCAAATAAATGCATAGTTTAATACAAATATTATAATGGAACTCCCCTTATATGAAGAAATAAATTCCTGAACAACAAACAAATATATTTATGAATAATATAAGCATTTAGAAATTATCTTTTTTAAAATTTTAGTAACAAGTATAATTAATATTATTAATAAAATTAAATTTTCAATCAGTCATTTCACTAAATAAATACTTCTCAAAGTGTGGACCACAATCTAACAATGGTCAGGAAAGGATTTGCAGTGAACTGTGAAACTTCCAAGTTTAATGTTATGCATTTCTGTTTTGTTATGTAATTATAAATTAATTCTTAAAATCACTTAGCTTTGTTAATTATTATTTCATTAATTTCTTTTAGAAATCTCCTTTTTTTTTTCAGAGAAAGGATATACATATGGATCACCATAAATCACAAATATTTGTATGCAGCTATAAGGTTAAAAAGGGTGAGAAAGGCTGCACTAAAATATGAATACAATACTATTAAGAAATAAAATATTTTAAAATAAATATTTGATACAATTTCATAGTAAAATATTTGTTGCATTTACACATTCAGAAAGCATGAATATACGAGTCGATATTATTACATAAATAAGAGGAGAGATTCTTATCCCACCTTAACATATATATTTGTGCTTTAAAAACCACAGATGCAAATAATATGTATAGTTCCAATGATTTTAGTTTAAATTTGAGACACACTTTGTAAAATATACGTAATATCTAAAAGTCAACTTAAAATTCTTCAGTGTAAAACCCTTAATTGGTTAGAGTACATTGAAGGGTGCCGTGTAACCGTGAAGTTGTTGTTTCATTTATGGAAATCCTATTACGATGTAATTGGTTGCATGATTACAGTGAATTTGAATGATTGGAAAAGATTTGTAAGTGTGTTTGTGTGCTGGATGTTGGTTAGGAAGTCCATGGGTTATTTTATGGTTTACACAGTAAAAACAGTAAAATGGCTGAATGTGGTAAGATTAATTTGAATTTCTGTATGATTTGGAATGAAAGGGAAAAAAGCATTCATTGATTGGTGTGTAAATGAAGGTTTACTTAGTAGCCATTAGGAGTGTCCTGTTTGTATGAAGGAAATGCGTATGATTGAACATTGGAGGATATTTTTAACTTTTACATTTGTGAATTTATATGGCATCGCCAGTATACAGATTCTATTTCAAATAATTTTAGGAATTTTTGGATGTTGTTAAGGTATTTAGTTTGACTGAAGAAGGAGAAATTTCTAAATAAGGTAAGTGGATATTTCCTTTGTGTAGTGCTAAGATGAGTTTCATTTTTTATGTTATTTGATTGCTTAATTTAAAATGTAGTTTATTGATATTATATATTTTTCGTTGGCTGCTCCTTTGACTTTTTAAGTGAATATAGATCATTGTGTACATGGACTAAGTCAAGAGAGTGCACAATGCCAAGTTTGTACAATTCTCTGATTTTTTTTAAGTGAAAATAGGTTGATGGCTATACAAAGCCAAAATAACAAGTCAAAGAATTGCACAAACTCAGTATCCATGTACCACCAAAAATTGCCAAATTTTCACAAGGGGAACCCGTAAATATATTTTTACCCCTTAATTTGACGGAAACTAACCCTACATTTAATAAACATTTCTCTGAAAAACTGAAAACATTTTCATTCCACTTAAAAAAAAAAAAAAAAAAAAAAAAAAAAACATTCTACTTACTCATACAAACTAATATTTTTTAATTTTACATTTTCTACTTTCAACATACTATAGCACTGTCAGAAAATTGACAGATAATTAACATTAATTCTTAATTAGTTAACAGGTAAAATAAAAAACATGTCATTTATATATAAAATTTTACTGATAAATAATTTACACAATTTTAAAAACAGCCTAAAATGTTGTACATTCCTCTATCTACTCAACAAGTTTCCAGAAAATGTTAGTTAAGAATAGTTGATGGATAACAGAAGCTCAAAATGTAAGACTATTAAAAAGCAGTTTTCATGTACTGACACCAGGCAATAGCAAATATGCAAACTTGAATATATTTTACATCAAGATATTTTTCCATTGTAAAAATGTAAAAGCAAAACAAAACAAAAAAAATTTTTGGTTAAAAGAGTGAATATGTCACATTTATTTTAATTCTCAAGAATACTCAGTCTTATTAGGTAATTATTACATACTATCATATATAACAAAAAATTTTGTTTTTAATGAAAATAAAATATGCTTCAACGCAAAATTCAATAACCTTTTAAAAAATCATAAAATGATATTACTTTAGTCATTTACAACATTTTTATTTTATACCTAAATATCAACCTGTTAATACCAAAAATAAATAAATAAATATATGTTAAATCACAAATTTTCAATTCTTATCATTGTCATAAAGTATAAACTGAAGTTGAAGAATGCATGAAATTTACAACCAGAAATTATTGTCCCAAATTATAAATTGATGATAAAGAAATTATCATCTAAAAGATTTTTTTTAAATAAGTATTTAATGGCATTAGGTTACAAATATAAAAAAGTCACAATTGGGATAATGGTATACTTTTCACTGCATTTTAATCTGATAAATTTTAAATGAATCATAAAAGGGAAGGGACAGAATTCTGCAAATTAAATTTGAAGTAACTTTATTGTTTAATAAAAATTCACATGTTACATAATATCTGACCTCAAAACTCAGTTTTATGGCAAAATATCACTTTACAAATAAAAGTATTATTACTATCATGTTTTAAAACAAGAAATGCAATATAAAACATATAGCACAAACAAAGTGATGCCCAGAGAGACATAAATAAGAATAAAAATAAAATCACAATAAATTCATCCTTCAGTAAACCAAAACTCTCAAACAAAGAGCAATTCAAATTGTGACGGAAGTAAAAAATGTCATTATTTACAAAGTTGCTTACATTTACAGATAAAATATTTAATGCTTCTTATTCCTGGGATTAGTACGGAATTTTGAAAATTCTTCAGCTGTCAGATCTTCGACACCATGAGCAGTCAGGAGTTTACCATGCCGAGTTTTAAGATGCCTTTTAAATGTATTCCTAGTTTTAAAATGTAAATTGCAATCTGTGCAATGGTATGGTGTTTCTCCAGTGTGGCGCCTCAGGTGTTCTTTGTAGTGACTAGGATGTCTGAATGTACGCTCGCAAAATTCACAAGTAAATCGACTCAAATTTTGATGAATAAGCATATGGTAGTTTAAACTGTGCTGGCGAGTAAAAGTTGATTCACATATTTTACAAACATACGGCTTAATTCCAGCATGGCTACGGTAGTGATGGATCAGTGTTGCTTGAGCAGTGAAATGTTTATCTTTGCATATCTGACATATAAGAGAATCGTGGATTTGTTTCTTTTTCTTCGAATGTAATTTTGCAATAAACTTCAGTGCCAATTCTTTTTCAAACTTTTGCATGTTTTCTAAATCTTCAACATTATTATCAGTAGATGAAAATGTACTTTTGGATGAGTACATGCTAGACTGTTTAGTAGTCACAATATTCTCAACACACTCCAGTACTGAACCTGTAACATCATCATTTTTGTTTAACAGGTTTGTAAATTTATCATCATAATCCAGCAAATCTTCTATTATTGCATCGTCAGAAGCCAATTCACTTTCATCAACATCACAATAGCATCCTATATGTTCACTCGACAACTGATCCAAACTCTCAGCATAAAAGTCATCTAACATACTAATCTCCTTTATTTCAGCTACATCAGGAAGCAATGGAATGTGAACAAATGGAAAAGGTGGTGTTCTTATAATCAGCTGAGACTGAATTAAATTATTTTTATTACCTGATATTAGATCTTTCAAACTCTCAGCAGTATATTTCTTATTTTCACATGGCACAGATTTTTCAATTTTCATGCCATTTAAAGCAGCATAAGTATGATCATGCTGTGAAAACTGACCTTTTTCATCTGACAGATCAAAAAAACTACCAACATCTTTAGAACTGACTTGAGGCTTATATTCATCTTCACTTCTTTCAGATTTATAATTGAATCAGCAGTACTTTTATCAACAGAATTTTACTTCTGCAGAAAGTGAAGGAGCTGTTGACCTAAAATCAGAATCATATTCCTTATTCGTATCGGTTTCAAAGCGCAACCTTTTAGCAGGCAAGGTATGGAAAATATCTTCCCTTAGATTTACTGATTCATTTTCCTCAAAAGATCTATCTTCCATATCTTCAGAATGATAATTAAGCAATTCTGACCACCAATTCCTTCTTGGGCACAAAAAGTCTGAATCGGGAAGATTTTTAAATTCTTTATCCATGCACTTTATCCCTTCATATTGTTTCACATATTTCGTTGATTTCACCTTCATTTTTTTCATAGTAAGTGAGGACTGCTTAGCAGGCTTCGAAATTTTACGAGACCTTGTGTTTCTAGGAAGCACATGGCTTAAAGACAGTTGTCTCTTATTTTGCTTTCCGTTTTTCTTTGAACTTACTTTTTGTGCATATTTTGAACGAAAGACAAGAGGTTTTCCATCAGATTGATACCTTTTGGATCCTGCAAATCCATAAATTTCGACACTAAGCTCTTGTAAATGGGACAACAAATGAGATCGCATTTTTTCGCATGCTTTTTGTTCATTACCAAAGCTTTTATAAGCAACAGTACACTTTTCAGGTAAAAGAACACATTTATAACAATATTTCTTTGTCAGCTCATCTGACGTTATTTCTGAAAATTTATCAACAAGCAATTTTGGTGGAAGAGCTCTAATATCCTCAAAAGTCATGACCTCGGAAAAATGGTTGTTTTTCTTTGACTGCTTTTTAGTCTCAGAAAAAGGTTTCTCTCTTTGAAGATCCAATGAATTAATTTCATTTTTAAGTGTCTGTGATGCTACGGCAGCTAGTACATCAAGTGGTAACATGTTTTCAAATTTATATGGAGACGAATTTGAAGCAATGTGCACAGACATGATTGACATGCTAAAAACTTCCAATAAAAATTCCTAGACTAAACTAACGCATCACCCAACTTTCAATCTTATATGTATAAGAATTGTACCGATGCATAATATTATAAAACACATAAATATAATATCAGAAGAACATTTACCTAACAAAGACTTGCACTACGACGAAACCGCTCAGTTCAAGACACAAAACAAGCAGACCATTCTCTATACCTGGTGCCAGATTCTCAAACCAGAAGTTCGAAATGTAATAGCCTCACATTTGTAGATAACCTCCGCAAACAAAATATTAAAATACTTTAAAAAATTTTAATTTTATTTAGTAATTTTTTAATGCAATATTGTTGTTTTTATTATTTTATATATACTTATATTACCATAAAAATATTATTTTGTGTTATATGAATAGCCTCTTGTTTGTTGCGGTTTCATTGTCGTCTGTTGCCAAATTTCAAATACCAACTATGAAATGAAATTTATCAGATTTATTTCTTTAAATATATAGTAAATATTTTTATTTTATTTTGGGTTAAATATTAATTCAAAATATTAATCCTTAATTAAATTGTATATAATTGAATATCGCATTGCCTTAAGTTATGATATCCAAAGGAAAGTGAATTAAATAGTATTGGAGAAAGATACGTTTTATTTACGAACTCTGGCAATATGTTGTTTTTACTTATCATTGTATTCTAGCTTTCCTTTCGAAAGTAGGAATTGTTGCTGCTATTTAATTTAATGTAGAATTTGAGCAGTGTGATTAAAAATTTGGAAAATACAAAGCACTGTTGAATTATATAAGTCCTATATCGTCCTTGGGTAAGCAGGAAGTAAATCTTGTAATTTTTTTTCCCTCAAAAATTAAGTAATGTCTAAAAGCAAATGTAAACATTCATGAAAATTTTCTTTGATTTGTTTTAAGTTCCATCATTCAACTATTTTTAAATTAAATTATTCAGCAGCCTGATTTCTGAACTAAAGGAATGGTATATTTGCTGAGAATATTTCACGTATGCGTACTTTTTAAGTTTTCATCGCCAAAATATATTTTGAACCGGTTACCATTTTAAAGTTGTTAAAAGTATTTCTGCGAAATATTAAAGATGCTTCAAGCTCTTATATTTTAGAATAGTTATTTAAAATTCTTTTAAAGTTATTGGCTTATGTTAAGAAGTGCAACCAAAGTGTTAAATAGAATGAGAAGTAAATATACTTTTAACAGAAATTTTGGTAAAATCCTAGTATACGTTGGTTGATCTTTACATTATGGTAACTTGGCGATTTTTTGGCGAAAATTTGGCAACCAACTCTCCTACAACAACCCTCTATTTTTTTTCCCCGCCGCCATTTTGTCTTCACGAAGTAAAGACATGTTTCTTTTCTTCTTATCTACTGAACACTTCTTCCAACAATCTACTAGCCGAATTACACTTATGCTAGAAATTTTATCAAACAAAACTGCTAATCATGACAAAATTCACTGCAAAATTGGGAAAAAGTGCACAATACCATACTCCTTATGCGTTTTTTCAAAATAACACATACACATAAACCATGTACACGCCGACTTATTTTACTTAAAAAAAAAATCCCAGAATTGCACAAAAATGGCATTGCGCACACTCTTCACTATATCCATGTACACTGCTTTTTTCTCATAAATTAGAAAAATTTCACGAAAATACATGACAAATTTTCTCAATCTTTAAACCCGGTAAAAGAAATATATGAAATTACCTGATCGCGAAAAAGTATTTACCCTTTACAAATATGAACATTTCCACATATAAAATAAATAAAATATCCAAAAACGTTTACCTCTAAATCATCTATTACATTATACACGTCACCAACGAATTCATACCGCAAGCATTACAAATACTTAGTCTCAAATATTTAAATTATTTCCATGCACGATTATTTCAACTTAAATGTATACCAAATTCCTACAAACATAAAATTCACAAAATAACTATCATTTAATTAAAATATCACTAAACCATGTACACGTCGACTTATTTTTACTTAAAAAAACATTCCAGAATTGCACAAAAATGGTATTGCACACACTCTTCACTATATCCATGTACACTGCTTTTTTCTCATAAATTAGAAAAATTTCACGAAAATACATGACAATTTTCTCAAATCTTTAAACCCGGTAAAAGAACATATATGAAATTACCTGATCGCGAAAAAGTATTTACCCTTTACAAATATGAACATTTCCACATATAAATAAATAAAATATCCAAAAACTTTTACCTCTAAATCATCTATTATATTATAAACGTCACCAACGAATTCATACCGCAACCATTACAAATACTTAGTGTCAGATATTTAAATTATTTCCATGCATGTTTACTTCAACTAAGCCCACCAGCGGCCGAGCGGTAACGTCGCTGAACACTGGTAGTTCGGTCCAAGGTTCGAATCCCGCCAACGGGCTGGCTGCATGGGCGTTTTCGTAGTTTTCCCCATGTGTAACGTGTATACGAGCCAGTTTCCCTTAGAAAGTCCTCCACAAAGGCATCCCTCGTCTTAGGCAGATAGCCCCAGTGTGCTTTGCCATAATTAAATACAACAACAACAACATTACTTCAACTAAACGTATACCAAATTCCTACAAACATAAAATTCACAAATAACTATAATTCATTAAACATTAAAATATAATTAAATTCAAAACACTACTTAAAATATAAATGAGCACATACATTAAATTAATAAAAATTACCTTACAATCCTAATTACTTTAAACTAAATTATTGCTAATAACAATTTTCCCAATAATACCAAATTCCTTCCACCTTACATTTAGAACAATGCACAAAAAATAATATCCTCAAATAATTAAAAATACTAACTTACCTAATCTCTCTTCAGAGTCTTGATTATGTGGCGGATACACTTTTCTAATTCATTCAATAAAATTTTGAAAGATTTTTTCTGCGAATTTTTCCTCCATACTTCCTTAGCTAAATAAAAAGCAAACTTCTCTTTATCACAATGCCTAAATACCCATTTTGAATTCACTTTAGTTAGGGCCATGGGATCCAAAAATTAAACAACACTGTTTCACACAACACAGAATAAAGCTAAATACAAAATTTCCACATTTTTTCCCGATTTTCCCCCTTTTCCGATTAAAGAACCGTAATTCGTCCATTAATATCACGTGACATATCCCATGATCTCTCATTTCCCTCACGCAAAATAATGCGTAATCGGAACTGAGTACTGCTCACATTATTACCAAAGTCCCAGGTAGTAACCTTTATCGCCTCCAAAATGTCGCCAAACTACCAGTTACCATATTGTAAAGATCAACCACATTGTGCAGCCTTGGCGCGACTTTGAAAATTATCGCCAAGACCAAAAATGACCCAAAGAACGTCTATATATATATATATATATACTATACACACGTAGTATATATATATATATACATAGTATACGTTTAACTGTATGTTTTCTTTGAATGACCCGTTAACTACTCATTGTATATGTCCCGTTTTTACTGCTCATCACAAAGTCGCCAAAAGTAGCTAAATCCCGTGTGCACCGGATACTAGGATTAAACCGAAATTTTTCATAACTGTTTTCTGTTCAGTTATATTGTTGCATGCATGTCATTGCCAAGTATTTTGCCGTGAATATGTAAGAAATATTTGTTAGAGCTGCAAAAGTTTATTGATTCTCTTCTAATTAATTATTTTAATAATTGCATATTTAAACAGTACATTAACATGAATAGATTTAAAATAAGGGTTAATCTTTGGATTATGGTAACTTAGAGATTTTTTGGCGACCAACCCTGCTACAACAATCTGCTAGTTTTGTTTTGGACGCCATTTTGTTTTCACAAAGTAAAATCGTGTATTTTTTTTTTTTTTTTTAACTCAGCATTTTTTGCAACAATCTGCTAGCCGAATTACTCTTATACTAGAACTTTTTATGAACAAATGCTTAACCATGACGAAGATTAGGTGCGAAATTGGGAGAAAGTGCAGAATCACCACTGCTTGCCTCGTTTTTAAGAATTGCACATACACGGTATCATCCATGTATACGTCGACCTATTTTTCACTTAAAAATCCAGAATTGCACACAAAGGCTTGCGCACCTCTTGACTTTATCCTGTACACTGCTAAAGTCCTAGCTAGTAACCTTTATCGCCTTACCAAAATGTCACCAAACTACCTGTTAGCATATTCCAAAGATTAGCCGAAATAAGAAGCAGTACTACATTAAAAATATTTGAATGCTTCCTTTAAAAGTTTGCACATTTGTGGTTCAACTACGGTACACTGTACCAGGATTATAAACCGAATATGGTTACTTAAAATTATTACTGGTAATTATTTTTTTTTGTATAATTTATGCTTTGTGATATTCATATTATAAATCAAAACAGTTATTGAATTATGGTAACTTGGCGAAAATTTGGCGACCAACCCTGCTACAGCAACCTGCTAGTTTTTGTTTGAATGCCATTTTGTTTTCACGAAGTAAAGGCATGTTTTTTCCTTTTTACTCAACATTTTTTTCCAACAATCTGCTAGCCGAAACGCTTATGCTAGAACATTTATGGAACAACTGCTTAATCATGACGAAGATTAGGTGTGAAATTGGGGCAAAGTACAGAATCGCCCACTGCTTGCCGTTTTTTTAAGGATTGCACATACACGGTATCATCCATGTACACGTCGACCTATTTTCACTTAAAAAAAATCCCAAAATTGCACAAAAAATGGCATTGCACACATTCTCGACTTTCTCCACGTACACTGCTAAAGTCTTAGCTAGTAACCTTTAACGCCTTACTAAAATGTCGCCAAACTACCTGTTATCATATCCCAAAGATTAGCCGATTAGCCATCACCACTTCTCAATAACTTGAAAAAAACTTATAATGTTTAGGACATTAGCTTTATTTCACATCTTTGTAATTTAACACTTTTGCCACAAAGGTGGGATCTCTCACTTTCTCCAAGCAAGAACACACTCTGGGATTTTCCGTTTTTGCACAACACTGCCCTCCACAGGCATTTTCTACATTTTGCAGTTCATATATCAGGGAGGTAAGATTGAACATCCTCCTGTCCATTGAAATTGCAAATTCCAATATGAGAATATCAAAACAAATTTTGCAACTTGAATAACAATAATATATACTAATAAAACACATATTACAATAA